CCAGTAAAACCAAAAAACCAAACACAAAAAAGAAAAAATGATAAAGAAAAAAAAAAGCTACATGGTCGTTCAGAGTCATCGTCTCAAAGAAAGCTGAGGCCTTTTCGTTTTATTTTTTTTATTTTTAAGTCCCATATGAAAGTCATCATGCCATGAACTCCTCACGAAGTCATAAAACACCACAAAACCATTAAACCTTTGCCTCGTTCTCCATATAATGTTTGTGGCTTTTTCWTTTTTTYTTTTTGTTTTTTGTTCCAGTGACAAGCTCACATGCAAACAAAGGAACAAGCTGAGGAGGTTAAGAGAATCGGATCCAGATCTCGATCGCTCAGATAAAATGTCAAACGGTCGTGGAAGAGCTGTAAGATGTTGGGAACATCAGAGCAGCAGGCTGGTGAGTTTATGACGTGTCTTCATCGTGCGGCTGACAGCGAAAACTTAAAACATGGCAAGGTTACGATTTTTTCCATCTGCTTCACTCTTCTTCAGCCTGAGCTTCTCTCTCCATCAGAACATGTGGAAACCAGCAGAGTCTGACGGGAAACAAACCGAGTTCTGAGTCCTTTTTTTAAATCTGTTATGAGAAGGCCCCAAAATGATCAGCAAGATKCTGATATGAACATCATATTAGTATTGACTGATACATGCGAAGGCCGTTTTATAAAATGTAGATGATGCAGAAAACTTCATCAGGAAATAAAGTCACATCGCATCTTTCTTTTTCACAGGCTGTTTTTCATGCGTTAGATTTCCATTTCCATTTATATGTGATWAATAAAGTGTTCACCAACAGTCATATAAAGACGCTTCTTCTAAATGATTAACTTTAATATGTCACAGAAAAATCTCCTTTATGTGTTTGGGACACATAATGCAGCTCCTAATCCATAGATCGTCAAATGAAGGTCTCTGAGCCTCAATTACCCTGGGAGCTCATCTTAACCGGTCTGAAAACTTTTAAATCAACAAAAATTTACATATACAGTATATGTATGTATACATATATACTG